ACCCAGGATTGAACTCTAGGGCACTCAACCACTGAGCCACATCCCCAACCCTATTTTAAATTTCATTTAGAGACAGGGCCCGCACTCATTGAGTTACTTAGTGCCTTGCTTTTACTGAGGCTGTCTTTAAACTTGCAATCCTCCTGCCTCAGACTCTAGAGCCACAGCTCTAATGCTTTTTTTTTTTTGGGGGGGGGTGTACCAGGGATTGAACTTGGGAGCACTCAACCACTGAACTGCATCCCCAGCCCTATTTTGTATTTTATTAGAGACAGGATCTCACTGAGTTGCTTAGCACCTCGCCGTTGCTGAGGCTGGCTTTTGAAGTAGGGATCCTCCTCCCTCAGCCTCCAGAGCTGCTGGGATTACAGTCCTACGCCACCATGCCCAGCTCTAAAGTTAATATGGACTGGTAATTCATCCAGATTTACTTAGGTATCTAGCTAGAATTTCAAAGAGTTTAGAGCCCTACCCTTTAGCCTCTCAGCCTGATTTGTATTATTTTAGTAACCTACCTTTGAGCACAGTGTGATTGATTTCATTTCATTAAAATGTTATACTGGGGGCTGGGTTGTGGCTCAGTGGGAGAGCACTCACCTAGCATGGGCGAGGCACCCGGTTTGATCCTTAGCACCACATAACAATAAATTAAAAAAATAAAGGTATTGTGTCTAACTAAACTAAAAAAAAATATTAAAAAAAAATGTTAAAGGGGCTGGGGTTGTGGCTCAGTGGTAGAGCGCTTGATCCTCAGCACCAAATACAAATCAATAAACTAAAGGTATTGTGTCCAACTACAATTAAAAAATAAATATTAAAAAAAGACTTAAATTAAAAAAAATGTTAAAGAGGGGCTGCCTCTTACATGGGGAGGGCGCTGAGTTCTGTCCTCAGCACCACATAAAAATAAAATAAAGGTATTATGTCCAACTACAACTAAAAATATTTTTTAAAATGTTAAATAGGGGGCTGGGGATGTGGCTCAAGTGGTAGCGTGCTCTCCTAGCATGCGTGAGGCACTGGGTTTGATTCTCAGCACCACATAAAAATAAAGGTATTGTGTCCACCCAAAACTGAAAAATAAATATTAAACAAAATGTTAAATAGCTTTAGGTCAGACAATTTAGAAAGCTAAATTTTAAAAAAAGAATGCTTGTCTAGGATTATCGCCCAGTGGTAGAGTATTTGTCTAACCAGGCCCTGGGCTTCATCCCAACACCACATTATTTTGAGACAGTCTTGCTAAATTGCACAGGCTTGCTTTGAACTTATGATCCTCCTGCCTCAGCCTCCCAGGTATCTGAGATTGCAGGCATATTTCATCACACTCAGCTTCCCAGCATTATATAAAGAAAAATTTCAAACATAACATACATACATACATACAGAAAAGTTGATAAGAATCTTATAGTGATAACCTGTATGCCCATAATATTTTACAGTATTTGCTTTATCACATTAACTCATCTTTGTTGGATAGGTCTTTTTTTGGGGAAGGATACTAGGGATTGAACTCAGGGGCACTTTGCGTTCCTGAGCCAGGACACATGATCACTGAGCCTCGTCCCCAAACCTGTTTTGTATTTTATTTAGAGACAGGGTCTCACTGAGTTGCTTAGTGCCTTGCTTTTGCTGAGGCTGGCTTTGAACTTGCGATCCTCCTGCCTCAGCCTCCAGAGCCGCTGGGATTACAAGCGTCTTCCACGGCCCCAGGCTGGATAGGTCTTTAAAATACTTCTGTCATCCATTTGAATCTCATCTGTATCTAATGCATTACAGTGCTGAAAAATATTCTTTTGATTTTTACCTGAATCTTCTAGGTTGGGATGAATATTATTATAGCCTAACTATGTATCAGCAGGTCTACCTGGGAATGAGAGATCCAGAGAGAGGGAGTCTTTTTGTTTTTGAAAGAAAATGGCTGCATTTCACTGTTGTATACTGGAAATAGTAGGGGGAAGGAAAGATGGAAGCCCAAGCCCAATGTGTACACTGCCCTGCACTTCATCCCCCTCCACCTGCCTTTTTTTTTTGGGGGGTATTGGGGATTGAACCCTTGGGCATTTAACCACTGAGCCACATTCCAAAGCCCCCACTCCTTTTTTTTGTATTTTTACTAGAGACAGAATCTTGCTGAGTTGCTTAGGGCTTCACTAAGTTGCTGAGGCTGGCTTTGAACTCACAATCCTGCCTCAGCCTCCTGAGCCGCTGGGATTATAGGCCTGTGCCACAGAGCCCAGCTCATTCACTTATTTGGCTTTGGGGCAAGTGGGTTTTAAAAGGGAGCTTCTTTCATTTGGTTCATTTTTTTTTTTTTTTTTAAGAGAGAGGCGGGGAGAGAGAGAGAGAGAGAGAATTTTTTTTTTAATATTTATTTTTTAGTTTTCGGCGGACACAACATCTTTGTTTGTATGTGGTGCTGAGGATCAAACCTGGGCCTCACGCATGCCAGGCGAGCGCGCTACCACTTGAGCCACATCCCCAGCCCCTCATTTGGTTCTTTAATTTAAAATTTGATAAAGTGCCAGTGAGATGATATTCAGCAGTAATATAAATAATTTTGGAATTCCAATAGTATTTTTTTATTTTAATACTTTTTGGTGCTGGCAGTTGAACCCAGGTCTTTGCACACACTAGGCAAGTGGTCTACCATGAGCTGCCAGCTCTAATGTTTTTTTCTTTAGGTATGGTTATATAATTGTCATTTATTTTCCTACAGGTAATTTTTCTAGTTTCAGTATTTTCGCATCAAAATTAAATGGGAAAAAAAATAAAAAAGTTTAAAACTAAATCACTTGGCCTTTATTCTTCTTGTCTCCTCCCAGTTCGAAATGCTTGCATCTCTTGATGGCCAGCATCCTCTTGGATCTGCAATTTGGTTCAACGCATTCAAGTCTTAGCACAATCTTCTTCGTGGTTTTAGCCTTCTTGCGGAAAATTGGCTTTGTCTGCCCACCGTATCCACTCTGCTTCCGATCATTGCGCCTCTTTCCTTGGGCGTAAAGGGAATCCTTGCCCTTCTTATACTGGGTCACTTTGTGAGGCTGGTGCTTGCCACACTTTTTACAGAAAGTCCTTCGAGTTTTAGGTACATTGACCATCTTTACAGCAGAGGTGTCCACGTGATGAAAACCAAGCCAAAGCAGCGTATCTCACCTTCCCTTTCTTACAAGGTCCTTCCCCCGGTTCTGAGCAATGGAGACTCGTGTTTAAACCGCTACAGTCCAGCTGCTAACTTACCCGGAGATCTCACAGCCACAGCTCTCGCCTTGCCACGCTTGCGCCTTCTCTTAATAGTTTTATGTTAACAACAGCCATAATTTTAATTAGGAAGCACCATGAACTGAGATTATCAAGTACATGATAATGGTAAATGTTTATCTCCCTTGATTTAAGCTCAAGGTTAGAGAGACCATGTCTTGTTCATCTTTGTAGTTGTTTGTTTGTATTCATGTCTAGAACTATACCCCCAAATATGCATTTATGCATTTAAGGATATTTGAAAAGATTTAGTGATGACCTGGGTGTGGTGTTACATGCCCATAATTCTCAACACTCAGGAGACTGAGGCAGGAGGATTGTACAGTCAAGGATAGTATGGGTACTTTAGCTAGACCTGATCTCAAAATAAAATAAAAAGGACTAGGGATATAGCTCAGTGGTGGGGTGCTTGCCTAGTATGCATGAGGCCCTGGGTTCAATTCCCAGTACTGCCGAATAAAAAGGTTTAGAAATGGGCATGTTTATAGTGTTCATAGCAATGAGCAATGCAAAACTTGTTCATGAATAGGAATTTGGTAAAATAAATTATGATGTACTTACATAATAAAACAAAATCATGAAAAATAAAAATAATCGTGTAGATGAATATTTGACTTTCTAGGTCTCATGGTCACTAGTAGATTAGAGAACAGATTTTTTTTTTTCTTTTTTGCTGGTGTTGATAGGTGAGTGAAATAGTTAAAAAATGAACCCTAGGAAACCGCTCCTTGAGGTTTGAATTGAGGATTGCCTGCATCTTATAGTAACAGGAAACCAAACCTGGCAGCATTAACTAGTGCTACCAACATCTAATGATAAAAATTAGTAGCCTAAGCTGAATTGCCACATTTCTTTGTTGCTTTGTTCTAAGCAGCAAGGGACTGGGAAATGTACAAGCAGTAGGCAGCTTTTTTAGAAAGAAAGATCCTTGAGTGGTGGTTATGGGGGGAGGGGTATATCGTTGGCTTGTCCTGTGGACTCTTACTCCTCAGAGCCTTGTTTCTCCAGGACTGAGTCTTAGGGTTAGGGGACTAGCCACTAGTCCACTTCGCTCCTTGTGTTCCTTTAGAAAGTCCAGACAGATGGGTCTTCCTTTTCATTTTTGATGAGTCCTGGTGGGAATGGAACTTATTAATAACAAGTTTTATTACCTAACAGTGTGAACCAGATACTGATGACTATATGAAGAAGGTTTTGTTCACCTTTTGGGGCCTGTTTTAGTCAGGAGTATAGAATATAGGTTCATAAACTGCCATATGTAGCAAGGTTGCTAAGGGATAAAGTTTGCTCCTTATTCAAAGATGGGGATATTGATGGGAAATAGGAAGGTCAGAGTCAGAGTTTACATCTGAGTTCTAACACCCTGGTATAGTCACTTAGTGCCTCTGCACCCAAGTTAACTAACCTCATTTAAAATAGGAGCAAGTATCCTTTATTAAATAAAAATTATAGACCTTGCAACAGCTTTTGCCAGATAAAGCACATAATTGTGGGGCTGGGGATATGTAGCTCAGTTGGTGAAGTGCTTGCCTTGCATGCACAAGGCCCTGGGTTCAACCCCCAGCACCAAAAAAAAAAAAAAAAAAAAAAAGCATAATTGTGATGCTAATGTGAATACTTACCAAGAGTGAAATCTGAGGTCCATGGTGTGGCTGGATAGAGAGGACTTAAGGTGTTAAAAATAAATCTAGATCTTAAAGCTTGACTGTTTCATGTTATATGTTTCTTTTCCCTGTCAGACAGGTGATGCGTAATGTTGTCAGAAAGCATGTGCTGGTGAAGAAATATATTGAGCCCTGCTTGGTCCAGTGAGGTTATTAGTGAATTGGGAGAGGCTCAAATCAGCATGCAAACTATTGTGAAATTTTGGTAAGTGGTCAGTGATTTTGATGGTCTTGCCCAGTTAGTAGGAATGGGACAAGGAAGGTGGTTTAAATAGGCAGTAGGTAATTACTTGACATTTTCCCACTATGATCTGAAAACATGTTAAGATCAGGATGTACTAGAGAATAAAGAATCTAGCCTATTTTCCCCATTCTCCCATTTTTACAGATAGGAGAATTGGAAATTGCTTGAGATTATATTGGTAGAAAATAGATTTGAATTCAAGTCAAGACTGTTGTCTTTTACTCAGTGCTTCTATTTAGATTCCATCCAAATATAAGGAGGCCATGTGAGACAGAAATTATTTTATTTCACAATAAAAAATTATTGTTGTGTCAATGCTATAATTATTATTATTTTTTTGCAGCACTGGGGATCAAACCCAGGACCTCATACATTCTAGGCAAGCACTCTACCATTGAGCTACATCCCCAGTCCTCACACTAAAGATTTTTGTAATAGCTTCTGAGATTGTACTTACCTGATGATGGAAATTTCCATGGTATAAAATATTGTTATGCATAAAGTTAGTTACTTGGTGCTTGTTAAACATGCAGATTCCTGGGCAGCTAGAAACCTTTTCATTAGTCAAAAGCAAAATAAGGATCTGCCTGTTTCTTGTATTATTTTTAGGTACTGGGGATTGAACCCAGGGGCCCTCTACCAGTGAGCTTCATCCCCACCCCTCCCTTTTTTTTTTAACAATTTTTGTGTCAGTTTTATTAAGGTACAATTAACATACAGTAAGATTTGCCAATTTGTTTTTTTTGTGTGTGTGTTTGAGGTGCTGGGGATTGAATCCAGTGGCCTTGTGCCTGCGAGGCAAGTACTCTACCAACTGAGCTATATCCCCAGCCCATTTTTAACAATTTTTGCCCATCGCTTTTTTTAAAGAAAAATCTTCAATTTTTTTTTAATATATTTATTTTTATTTGTTTATTTTTATGTGGTGCTGAGGATTGAACCCAGGGCCTCACACATGCGAGGCAAGCTCTTTACCACTGAGCTACAACTCCATTCCCATCCCGAGCCCTTTTTCTAATAATTTTTTTTTTTTATTTTTAAGACAGGTTCTTGCTAAGTTGCCAAGAGTCTTGCGAAGTTGCTCAGATTGGCTTGAAACTTGTGATCCTCCTGCTTCAGCCTCTGGAGTTGCTGGGATTACAAGTGTGTACCACCACACATGGCTCTGCCTGCTCAGCAAATTCACCAGAGTGCCAGGATCAATCACTATTTCTGAGGATATCCTGGTGAGGCAGTTTAGAAACCTTGGTAAGTTGTGAGTAGTTTCGTTGGTAGTAGAGAAGGGAAAGTGGTCATGATGTGGCACTTTCAGCCTTCTTTCAGCAGATAGTTATTAAGTACTTACTAAATGCTAGAAACTGTTCTTGACATTAACAAAGTCACAGAACTTTAATTCTTGTGAGTTTGGACAAAAAGGATAAATAACCAATAAATGTGAAATGTGGACTGGGGATATAACTCAGTGGTCAAGCACTTGCCTAGCATGTGTGAGGCCCTGGGTTTAATCTGCAGCTCTGCCCCGACCACCAAAAAAGAGTAAAATATTGAGATTTTTATATTGGATTTTTTCCCATGGTGAAGTGAAAAATTGCATTTAAAATGGTTGAGTTAAACTGTGCAACATCGTGTGTTTTTCTCCTTTCTATTCATTTTCCCTTTTTATACCTGCCACTGTTTCTTAATGCAATGGAGGCTGACCTAGCTGAATGCAGATAATAATATTTATTTATTTATTTATTTTTGTAACTCTTTATTAGGCTGGATTGTGAAGGCATATCTTTGAAAAGTGTTTCAGAGTCCAGCAAATGTTCCATGTGAGTGACCACATAGAAGAAGAGAAGGGGGTTCGCAGTGATTAAGGTAATATAGTGAAAAAGGTAAGTAGGAGGTGACTCCTGTCAGGGAGGCTCTTAGAAATGCCATTTTCAAACCACTTAGAAAGCCTGAAACTTTCTCTAAAATGTATTCTCAAAATAGTTTGGGGGGATATATATATTTACTCAGTTTGTGATCACCACTGCTGAGGATCAGAAGAACTGAAATGGTTCCTAAGTAACCAAGATGGCATAAACTCCAGAATTTTGGTGTTGGGGCTCAAACCCAGGGCCTTGTGCATGCTAAGCTCATGTCCTATCCCTGGGTTACACTCCCAGCCCGTGAGCTTCTGGTTTTGTAAGGTTTTATTGGAATGTAGTTATCATTCATTATTGTCTGTTTTTTTTTTTTTTTTTCTACAGCAGGATCTTGTGAGAGAGACTCTATGGTCTGTAGAGCCTGAGGTATTATCATGTGACTCTTTATAGGAAGTTTGCCAACTCCTGGTATAGGTTAAATGTATTATGTCCAAAATCTTCCTTATCCCACTTTCTTTATATGGGGTATGTGTTTACAGCTGATCCTAGGATATATGGAATCAATTTGCTTTTTAATTTCTTTTCAAACTCTCCAAGAAAGTACATTCACAAATTATAAATTTAAGAAATATATAGAAGGAACTATGTTTTATATGCTTCCTTGTAGTTAATTTATTTATTCTATATGGTTCTTGCATTACTTCTTTTTTTTATAACCATTTTAAAATTAGGCCATTCATTCATAAGTATCCAGAAAGTTATAACTTATTTTTTTTTTTTTAAAGATAGAGTGAGAGAGGGAGGGAGGGAGAGAGAGAGAGAGAGAGAGAGAGAGAGAGAGAGAATTTTTAATATTTATTTTTTAGTTCTCGGCGGACACAACATCTTGTTTTGTATGTGGTGCTGAGGATCGAACCCGGGCCGCACGCATGCCAGGAGAGCGCGCTACCGCTTGAGCCACATCCCCAGCCCCAAGAAAGTTGTAACTTATGATCCCTACTTTAACCTTTTCCTGATTTTAGTATACTTCCCCACTGTGGCTTTTTTACATATTTCTGCAGATGTTTTGACTTTTCTGGGGAGAAAAGTCACCTTAGAACATAATTTTCTGTAGTTCTATATTGGGGAAATATGCAACTTATAGCTTTTTGTGCATTTGATGCCATTTATTGAGCATCTACTAGGAGCCTATGCATACTTTCATAGAATCTGCTCAAACCCAAAGATTTGCATGTTAATCAGTTATCTATTTTTTTTTTTCTTTCCATACCAGAGATTGAACTCAGGGACATTCAATTATTGAGTCACATCCCCACATCCCCATCTCTTTTTATTTTTTGAAACAGGGCCTCACTAAATTGCTAGGATTGGCTTTGAACTTGTGATCCTCCTGCTTCAGCTTCCTGAGCTGCTGGGATTAAAGATGTGTTGGCAAGTTATCTCCATTTCAAGGATGAATCTTTGAAAGCACAAGTGACTTTTCCTAAATCATATTGCTAATTAGTGGTACAAATGGGACTTAAAAGAATAATTTATGTTACTCTTTGGTACTGGGAATTGAATTCAGTGCCTCACACATGCCAGGCAAGCACTCTACTACTGAGCTACATCTCCAGCCCTCCTTATTTGTTTACTTATTGGTTGGTTGGTCTTGGATTTGAACCCAGGGTCTTGTGCATGCTAAGCATATACTCTACCTCTACCCCTTAGCTGCACCCCAGCCCCCATTTTCTTTTCTCTCTCTCTTTTTTTTTTTTTTGGTACCAAGGATTGAATCCAGGGACACTTAACCACTGAGCCACATCCCACACCCTGCCCCCTTTTTAAATTGTTGCCCTTTTTTAAACACCTTTATTTTTATTTATTTTTATGTTGTATTGAGGATGGGACCCAGTGCCTCCACATGCTAGGCAAGCGCTCTTCCACTGAGCTACAACCCCTGCCTCTGTTCTTTCTTTTTTTTTTTTTTTGGAGCTGGGGATTGAACCCAGGGCCTCATGCATGCTAGGAAAGTGCTTTTTCACCAAGCTATCTCCCTCCCTTCCCCCAGCCCTTTTTGAAGAGCTTTATTTTATTTATGTATTTTTATGTGGTGCTGAAGATCAAACCCAGTGTCTCACACATGTTAGGCAAGCGCTTTACTACTATCTCCCCAGCCCTTCTTCAGCCCTTGTTTATATTTTATTCAGAGATGGTCTTGCTGAGTTGCTTAAGGCCTCAATAAGTTGCTGTTGCTGGTTTGAACTTGCAAATCCTCTGCCTCAGCCTTCTGAGCTGCTGGATTATAGGAGTGTACCACTGGGCCCAGCCCTTTTTCTCTTCCTTTTCTTTTTTTTTTTTTTTTTGTGGTTTGTGTTGCTGGGGATCAAACCCAGGGCTTTGCCACATGCTAGGCAAGTATTTAACCACTAAGCTATAGCCCCTAGCCCTTCCATTTTCTATGTAAGTATTATCAAAGTTTTTTTTTTTTTTTTAAAGAGAGAGAGAGAACTTTTTAATATTTATTTATTTTTTTGGTTTTCGGCGGACACAACATCTTTGTTTGTATGTGGTGCTGAGGATCGGACCTGGGCCGCACGCATGCCAGGTGAGCGCGCTCCGCTTGAGCCACATCCCCAACCCTTATCAAAGTTTTTTAAAATTTTATTTTTTAATCTTGGAATTTGGCCTTTTGTGGGCATAGAGTAGTAAAGTGTAATAATTGAGAAAATTCTTTATGAGAGACTTCGTTGAAGTGAAATATTCACTGGAATCAGGAGTCAGAAGCCAGTCACCTAACCCTACATGTTCTCCTTCCCTTGCATATCAGGCTATTCATTCTGTTTTCCTTTTCAACAACTTAGGGTAAATTGGTAATACTGTTCTATCTAAAACCCTTCTCAGCATTTTCTCCTTTCTGTCTCTTTCTGTCTGAGGTCAGCCACATATCTACTCTCTAGAAACCTTATTGTCTTTTTTTTTCTTTTGCTGGTAATTGAACACAGGGTCTTGTGCATGCCAGACAGGCACTCTACCAACTAAGCTATATCCCTAGCCCATAGAAACCTTACTGTCTTATTGTGGTCAAGTCCAATGATAGCTTTTTATAGGTCCTTATGCTCAAAGAGACTAGATGAGGAAATGAGGAGTTTTTTTACTTAATAGCTAATGATTTTGGGGTGACTGGGATTCAGGGAGGGTCTGGGAACCTTTAAGAATTCTGTTAATTTTCTCTTTTTTGAAATGGGGTCTCTCCATGCTGTCCTGGCTGGGCTCAAGTGATTTTTTTTTTAAAGAGAGAGAGAATTAATTTTTTTAATATTTATTTTTCAGTTTTCGGTTGACATCTTTATTTTATTTTTATGTGGTGCTGAGGATCGAACCCAGCGTCCCATGCATGCCAGGTGAGCATGTTACCGCGTGAGCCACATCCCCAGCCCTCAAGTGATTTTTCATGTTTTAGCCCCTCTAAGGCTTCTGAGTAGCCGAGACTGAAGATTGAAGGACTTCCTACCCCAACTTTTTAGAATTTGAATGTCAAATGGGGCCTGATAAATCTTCCTAGAGAGAAGAATTCCCAGCATTGGTATATTTGGATAACCATGATTCCTCTGTAGTAGTGATAGAACACATTGATGTGACTATTGTTTGTGTAGCAGAATATTAAAATATGGTAGGCATAATGGTACCCCACAGAAAATGAGCCATAAAAGGGCCTTTTAGAATCAGGATTTTTTTTCCCCCCGTGGCACTTGAGATTGAACCCAGGGGCCCTATGGCACCTAGGTCCGTCCCCAGCCCTTTTTACTGTTTTGATACAGGATCATGCTAAATTGGTCTTGAACTTACAGTCCTCCTATCTCAGCCTCCCATGTTGCTGGGGTTACAGATATGTGCCACCATTCCTGGCTGTGGCTCATTTGTTTTAGGTTACATAAATGGAGAATTTTAAAGACTATAAGATCGTCTCTTTTTTGGGGGGGTCTGTAGGTAAGGGTACTGGGAATTGAACCCAGAAGGGCTTTAAACTGAGCTGTATCCCCAGGTGTTTTTATTTTTATTTGGCGACAGGTCTCACAGCCCAGGCTGTCCTTGAATTTAAAACCCTTCAGTCTTAACCTCTCCAGTTGTTGGGATTATAGGCATGTGCCACTGTACTAGCCTACAAGACCTTCTTGATTGTACTACCCTTTAATAGGTGGAGTAGTACTCAGCATTGGGCTTTCAGACTCAAAATGGTATGCAATCAAAAAGGCCTTGCAGTCTTTGAAAATCTCCATGTGGAGCTCTATGGAACATTGAAGTGGTTCACAAGTAAAGTGAATGAATCATTCTCTTATTTACTCTAATTTCCTTTCTCCTTCTATCCTTGTGCTCTCTTCCTCGTTCCCTTTCTCTTTTCCTCCATAGGCCAGTCTTCAAGCCCCTACTGCACTACCCAGTTTAAAATCTTTTTATCATGGCAGTGTTGGCATCCATACAGGGCATTGGGTACACACAGCAGGTTTCTGTTCTGTTTTTTATTTATAAGTGTTATGTTTATACATGTAAAGACTTTATTGGAAACTATCCATAAGTAGTATTAAGAGGGAAATGATATGGCAACCTACCCATGTGCTATTTTTATAGTCTTATTTTAGCTAATCATTTTTCTTTTTTCTGTATAATAACATGTTTTTAAGTTTAAAAAAATAATTACCTATTTATCTCTTTTTTCTTTTGGAGGATACCGGGGATTGAACTCAGGGGCACTTGACCACTGAGCCACATTCTCAGCCCTTTATTTCTATATTGAGACAGGGTCTCACTAAGTTGCTTAGCAGGCCCCACTTTTGCTGAATCTAGCTTTGAACTCACAATTCTCCTGCCTCAGTCTCCTGACTTTCTGGGATTACAGGCGTGAGCCACCATGCCTTATTTTTAAGATGGAATATCATTGTGTTGTCCAGGCTGATCTGAAACTCCTAGTGATCCTTCTGTTTCAGCTTCCCAAGTGCTGAAACCAACAGGCACATTCGACTGCATTTA